CACCGTTACTACAAGGTAGATACACAGTCATAATTCATTATAATGTAGATACACAGTCATAATTCTTGTCTCCAACGCCACCACCGTTACTACAAGGTAGACACACACTCATAATTCACTATTATGTAGATACACAGTCATAATTCATGTCTCCTACACCAACAACGTTACTACAAGGTAAACACACAGTCATAATTCATGTCTCCCACACCAACACCGTTACTACAATGTAGATACACAGTCATAACCCATGTCTTCTACATCACCACCGTTACTACAAGGTAAGTAGATACACAGTCATAACCCATGTCTTCTACATCACCACCGTTACTACAAGCTAGATACACAGTCATAATTCACGTCTCCTACACCATCACTACTACTACAAGGTAGATACACAGCCATAATTCATGTCTCACAGGCCAACACCGTTACTACAAGGCAAACACACAGTTATAATAGTCATAATTCATGTCTAGATACAAAGTCATAATTCATGTTTCCTACACCAACACCGTTACTACAATGTAGATACACAGTCATAACCCATGTCTTCTACATCACCACCGTTACTACAAGCTAGATACACAGTCATAATTCATGTCTCCCACACCAACTCCGTTATTAAAAGGTAGATACATAGTCATAATTCTTGTCTACTACACCAACAACGTTACTACAAGGTAAACACACAGTTATAATTCACTACAAGGTATATATACAGTCATAATTCATGTCTCCCACGCCAACACCGTTACTTTAAGGTAGATACACAGTCATAACCCATGTCTTCTACATCACCACCGTTACTACAAGGAATATACACAGTCATAATTCATGTCTCCCACGCCAACACCATTACTACAAGGTAGATACAAAGTCATAATTCATGTCTCCCAAGCCAACACCGTTACTACAAGGTAGATACACATTCATAATTCATGTCCCCCACGCCAACACCGTTACTACAAGGTAGATACACAGTCATAATTCATGTCTCCCACACCATCACTGCAAGACAGAAACACAGTCATCTTACAATCTTAGCAAAGGATCGTCATAAAGCCATGTTTTTCATGTTTTATTTAACAGTATAAGTATGGGTATGAGGGATATAGCAAGTTTATGACCCCCCTCGTCCAGGACTATATCCCTCGGCTTCGCCTCGGAAAATAGTCCTGGGCTCGGGGGATCATAAACTTGCTATATCCCGAAATACCCATACTTCAACTGTTTTATTATACCGATACAAACACTCCCTCACAATATTCTAAATATTATTAGACAACAAATTTTCAACAGTAGGACACTTTATTAGCAAAACAAAAACAAATCTTTAGAAATTCCATGTCCGCGATATCAAAACCCTTTTCAATGAGGTAGCTAGAGAGCAATGTAACGGATGCCTGTACTGTTTTTTTGTGTGTTCCAACTGTCTTTTGCCTACAATATGTCCGACAACTCGCTCTCGTCCAACACAGAAAACCTGGGGGTCGCCATTTCTGTTGTCGTCTGTCAACAACAATGCGAGGTGAAGGTCGGTCCAGAAAGTACCGGCTCCGCTGGCCGGAAATTGCCGGCGTAATTCGATTGCGCTGATTGGTCAATATTCGGTCTGGCCCCGCCCACGACGTCACTCACGCATTTTCCGAGGGAAATAGTTTCAAAACTATCGCATCCCTCCAGACGAACTATTTCCCTGGCATGCAGTTAGAGGGGAACTAGCTTGTTTATGTGGTTACTTTTGTATAGTGTAAAATAAGTAGAGGTATAATAAAAAAAATATAATTATTTATTTGCATTGACTGTTAGTGCTGTTAACATGTTTTAGTGACTTAAATATTAGTTATACAGAAATACAACCAAATTATAATACGTGCGATATGTATAAGATGTATGACGTCTTTTGCGATGTCAAATTTAATCTCAACGTCATATTTCGTCCAATTGTACGAGTTATCATTGAAACACGTGCAGTTATATTTATATGTAATTCATTATACTGTTTTGAAGATAGAAGATACATTGTTTTTAAACGTGTTTATATAAAATTAGATCAAATGAGATGGGGTTCGGTCTTGGTCAGATTTCAGTGTCAATTTAAAGGTTTGAATGTCGTGCCATTCGTGGGATGATTAGACCACATCTTATCGATTATTGTTTTGTTGTTTGTCAAGTCAAAGGCCTGGTTAAGATGACTTATTTGGTATCAACTTCCTCTCTTGTAACATGTCCGATTCATATGTTTATTGGCCAATTGTTTCTTTTCTTTTATGATAAATTATCTCCTTTGCATACGCTCTTCTTGTTTATTGTCATTATCAGGTGCCCTAACAATAAACTGTTTCCGGTGGCGGAACACAAACCAATCAAAATCGATCTTTTTACATTAAGCATCCGGGCGTTGCCAATTAAATGCAATAGAAAACAACGGCAAGCTACCGTGTGAAATGTAACTTTGGCTTTCTAGAGAACTGCTTTGTCTTTGATGTGATAGCAATCACCCAATTAGCACAGTAGCAATTAATAAATGATGTTGATTATAGCTACATGTATACGAAGGGAGACAACTGATCAACTATCGTATATCGCTCGGTAGGTTTTCTTTGTTGTTCAATTTGACTATTTCTATAACGCACCTAATACACAGGTTGACGTTGACTTTAGCATATCTCTTTGTTAAAAATGTCTAAAGAAATGACTTCACAATGTGAAATACATATGTAATTAGCGACTAACTTGTTATCATGACATACATATTTGAATATATTTATTTTAGATTTTGTGCATTTTTTAACGAAGTAAACATTGACAAAATGTAGAATACTTTCCTGAAAATCATACAGACTAAGACAGGAACAGCACATACATCTGACATGATGCCAAATCTGCCGACCAGACACTTCCACTGGATTTACGCGGCATGTTGTTGTTACCTAATAGAAAAATATATCGTAGTCGAGTTATTTAATTATTTAAGGCTCAAACATCAATAGACCTAATAACATGTTCACAAACCCTAAATTGCTATTTCATGCAGTGGATAAGAATCTTTTTAGTTGTTTTACGTGTTGCCGACCTGCAGTAATATGTTAAAGTTATAAAGAAATCAAATAATTAGCAGCGTCAACTCGATTTGCTGAAACAATTGTTTGTTGATTTGCGAGAATTATAATGGCCTAAGACATCTACACCTTTCAATGTTGACGGAGAAACTGTATATGGGGTCCGTAACTTTTCACTTCTTTCAGGTCTAGCTTTGGCTACCATATCAGTTTCATTGCTTAACCCTTAGAATGCCACAGGGCCGATTTGGGCAGATCTAAACTTTTCGTTGACTGCCACAGGGCCGATCTGGGCCGATCGGCTTTTAACGAACTTTTACGTCACGCGCGGCATTGTCTATGACGTCATCAAAACGTGTGTGCTCGGCGCACTAACGTGAGACGTTCTTGAAACTGCTTGTTCTGTAAGACAGTATATGCTAATCTTTTAATCATTGTAAAAACCTATATCGGTAACGCAAACGCACATATTATATACCAATGGAAAGCTGATAACCTGATCTGGAAGCTCATATATATTATGACAGGTTTTCCCTGTTCTTTAAATAATTCATTCAGAGATGAACGGAAAACAAAAAAATAATGTCACCATTGTCTCAGAATATTTCAATGTATCCTCCTGTAACGTGGTCGGGTCTATCTCTATCAAGGCCTATGATTTGTAGTAAGATAGCCAACCCTTCACCCTTGGTCAATAGGGTCTCTTCTTAGCCCCTGGTCAATAGGGTCTCTTCTTAGCCCCTGGTCAATGGGGTCTCTTCAGCCTCTGGTAAGCAAGGCTACTCTAAACTGGATACTACTTTGAACCCACTCAGTGACAGTGAACAAACGCCAAATGAACAGTTCTATAATGTTTATTTATATACATAGGAGTACTGGAGCCATACGAGCATGACAGTTGCAAGGTTAATACAAGTCCATATCAACGTATCTCACTCTTGTTCTGTACATATATACACTAAAACTTCCAATATAGCTCAGTTTCACTATTATT